AACATAACATAACATAACATAACATAACATAACATAACATAACATAACATAACATAACATAACATAACATAACATAACATAACATAACATAACATTATCCTAAGGGCTGGGAATCCACATTTGATATCAATATATATCAATATATGCTTATTTATGTGAAATCATCATCAGTGAATGTAGGCAAACCAATCGACACTGGCTTTGTATATCTTTTGTTGACTCTAATCACATGTCCACTACACTTTTTGCTCACTTTTTGATCTTTCTTCTTGCTATTTTCATCCAGCTTTCTCCCTCTCTCGCCTATGGGACATTTATTTAAAAAAAAAGAAAAAAAAAAGAAAAGAATATATTTCTATCATATGGTGAGTCTAATTCATTTGATCTTAACATGAAGGTAAGAACATATGCTACTATTATCCACTAGAGACTTATATAATTACAGTACATATATACATACAGCATCTGTAATGATGGTTTATGGCCAGAAGGTCAGTGTAAAAAATAAGCTCCCAGACTGTTACAGTGCAACTTTCACATTTTCAGTATAATAAAGTCCTCAGATACAACCAGAAGCACTCACGTTAAGCATCTCATTTTCTAAATTGATTGAGCAGGAGCCAGAGGAGAGAATATAAAGGGTCAAGGCTGCAAAGAGAAGGTGTTTCTTTGAAGATGACCAAAGTAAAGAGGATCAAAAGGAATGTAACTGAAAAAAGCAAAAGGCAATAGAGTCAGGAGCTCAAGTTTGGAGAATTTATCCATATACAGCAGGCTTTTGGATATGATTGAGTCCCTCCATATAAAACAGGTTTATTTAATGAAGACGTGCAAAAATGAATTGTAACCTTCTTGCAGTGGTTGGATTTGAGTCACAGGGGTCTCATCTTGGAATGAGGCCCAGGGTAGGAAAAGCAAGCCCAAAGAAACTCCATAGGTCCGTCCTCCTGTGGGCCCATCAACCACAGGAGGAGACATAGGATTTTAGTGTCTTGTGTGGATTGGACACTGGTCTCTGGTTACATTGATGGCCCTGCAACCTGAACTCGTATAAGCAGTAGTAAATGGATGGATGGATGGACGGATGAACAGTTACAGATCCCTGTAGTACGTGGGATGGGGTTGAAGTATGGTGTTTCATTACTATTTCCCAACTAGAGCAGCTAGTCATGTGAAATTTTGCAAGAAAATCAATTTTACACCAGCTCCAAGTTTCACAATCCGAAGCCAAATTCTTGAGCAACAAGCAACAAATTCCCATCCACTCTTATGTATTTTGAGACCATGTAACTCGTGGGAGGAAATCACTGATGTTTTTTATGAAATGACTCCAATGCCTTTGGCTTTGTGGTTTTATTCATTTTTAGAAACAACTGAAAACACTTTGAATCTTAAAAAACAAACAAAGAAACTAGAATACAATACATATTATTGTATTGTAAATATTTAGAATGAAGAGCTCAAAGATTCTGAACATTTGAAATAGACCAGGTTGAATTTTGGAGAAATATGCATGAGCATCTCTAAGTACTGACACAGCCACATAAATGAGAGTTTATGACTATTAAACTCTGTAACTATCAAATAGCTTGAATCAAGTGTTGGATAACCCCACTGCTGTTAGGAGCTACCTAAAGCGGAGAAAAAGCAGGCTATTAAGGGGTTAAAACAATTTGAAATAGTATTTTACAAGTAAATCATCTTATCTCAATCTCATTTTGCAAAGCTGGCTGTGTCTGCCACATGCACGTAACCTCTGCAGGTGTTTTATTCCATTTTAAATTTGTTTTTTATTGTCGAAGCAATGCTACGAGACAAACATTTACTGCTGCAAACAAGAGCGAATAGCCTGAACAAGAGTGTGATCTGATTTCCAATAAATCCCCTTCAATGGGACTCTTAAGTCTGACACAGACTGTCTGTCAGTTAAGCGCTGCACTAAACTTTGACCTACAGTTTATTATTATTCGGAGTGAATCAGATTGTAATGACGCCATTATGCTCACAACCATTAACAGCAAAACACTGTATTGTGACCTGTATCTAATGCAACACCTGTTCTAACATGTGCCTTTATTCACGGGTCACTTTTTGTCATTTTTGTAGTGGGCTAATATGTCCTCACTTAGCAGTTAAGACCCAACAATCACACAGCTTCACACAGCCCATCTTTCCTACTCAGATATTATGAAAAACAGTAAACATTGACTCTGTTCCTTGATGAAAAAGGTAACCTCTCTATTTCATGCAATTTGCGTAATAAAATAATCTGCACTATAGCAGCAAATTAATAACATAAACAAATAAAAAGCATCTGTCTTATTTTTAAGTACATATGGGGAAGTGGCTTCGTATTGTGAAAAGATGCATTGAAAATACAGATAAAGCATTTCAATACATCTTAATGCCAAACTATGTAGAATTATCTATGGCACAGAATATTATTAAAATGATTCAAAAAATCTCTGGAGAAATCTCTGTATACAGCAGCAGGGCTTTGCTGTGAAAGAGCTTGCCTATCTGTAGTCACCTATCAAAAACTTTTGGGGCAGTATGAAATGAAATATAAAAAAATGTTATGTTTTTACAAGCAATTTTTCACTCAGATGTCTAGCCTGCTTATAGAAATCGTTTAATAGCATCTCCACGGTTAGAAAACCTGTAACTAAGTACTACTCTATTGTTTCATATGAATGAAGAGGGTAAGTAATAGGAGGTGCTGCTAACTACACCACTCCAATTGTCTAACTGTTCTTCAGAAACTGTGAGCGCCTCTATAAATGTGGACGTTTTAACTGTTTGTTGGTCTGGAGCATTCAGATATGTGTTAATACAATGCCGCAATGTTACCAAGACTTGGGGAGCAGCAAAGTCACCCCAACGTCAGACGATGCAATGCTTAAAGAAACTGCAGAAAACCCAAGTGCTACCACTCAGAGTATGGGTGTCTGAAAAGGTTTCCAGGAGAAAGCCTCTTCCTCCTAAATCCCAAGGCTTCTGAAACAATGTCCTTCAGATAAACAAGACTACAGTGTAGATGTCTGGCCATTGTCACCTTTAAAAAACAAACCAAAAAACCCCTCCATCTAACATCCAACAAGACAATGATCTCAAGCACAGCAGCAAATCTTCAACAGAATGGCTGAAAAAGAAAAGAATCAATGTGCTGAAATGGTCCAGACCTGTATGTAGCAGGTCCTTAAGAGAGTTGTGCATAAGCGAATGCCCACAAATCTCAAAGAACTAAAGCAATATTGTAAAGAAAAGTTGGCCACAATTCCTTCACAATGATGTGAGAGACTGATAAAAGTCATACAGAAAACTATGACTTTAAGTTATAGCTGCTAAAGCTGGTTCTACAAGCTACTGAATCACCAGGTGCATTTAGACTGAGTTCCATGACAACATTTCTTCTTCATGACTGTATATATATGTGCCCCCCAAACATGCACAATTTAAATCTCAGTGTGTGATGGGAGCAAGGGGGATGGGGCTGTTAGTCTGAGTATGTTTGCTTGATAATATAATCCTTTTTATATCGAGTTGCTTGGATATATATTTGTATGTCATATTTACTATTGCATCTGCCTCCCCAGGGACAGCAGATGGAAATGAGCTAGTAGCTAAATCTGTTATAAAGCATCACTCCTCCTAAGAGATGAATGCTTTTGTTCATGGTCTCTGACAGTCAAATAAATAAATAACTAAACTAAATTAAGGACAGATGTAAACATTCCCTGTCCCAACTTTTTTGGAAAGTATTGCTTGTTGCTGGCACTGACTTTAAAAAAATGCCATACATTAAAAAAAGGTTTGGTTTTATTTAGTTTTTGTGCCATTTCCAATAAATATAGGGTTTAAACTGCTTGTAAACCATTGCATTTCATTCAATATTTTTAAATATTTCAAGCAATTTTATAACTTCATCTTTAGATGTATTGAGGTAAAGACTGCTGTCATATGATTACAAATCATTAAAAGCCACAGAGGTCAGTGAAATGCATCAGAACCTACAAATGTATGTTTTTATTCCTAAGCTTCTAATGGTCTTCCTATTATTCCTTCAACATAGGAGCTTGCATCTTGTTAAAAGCAAACAAATAAGGCCAAATGACATAACAGGGGTCGACCTCTGTGTATCAAAGGCTAATGACAGCCCGTTCCCATGGTGCTTTATGAGCCACCACTGCTCCTGAAAACAAAGCTAACACTAATGATGCTACACAGGAAGAGAGCATCTGCTTTTGCATCCTGAGGGGCAAATCCCATGCAAGTTGCTCGGATCACAGCGTGATTCAGCCAGCTGGATCATGTAGGAGGCACAGTGGTAAGGAAAGAGCTATCAAAGCTCATTGACACTCAACTTTGATTTCTTTCTATTCAACAAACACAGTGACTTATGTATCCAAACACATGTGGCTCCCATGGGATAATTTCCTGAGCCTTTGATAAATTTAGTTAAAAATAAAATACTTGATCCCAAGAGGATCAAGTATTTTATTTGCTGTTCAGTTACAGTGTCAACATGCTTACATCATGAATACATGCTTAGGGGTGGCTCCAGCTCAGGAGGTGGGACAGGTGATTTACTGATCAGAGGGTTGGTGGTTTTCTAAGCACTTAGAAATAGAAGAAAGTGCTTATATGAATGTGGGGTGAATGAGACATGTTGTATTCTTCTTTTAGTGCTCAAATACAGTACAGAAGTGCTATATAAGAACCAATCTATTTATCATATACTATAATTTACTTGCAAAGAGCCATGAGCAACATGAGATAAAAAACTATTACAAAAGCTCTATGAAGGGCTGCCATTATGCTGTTTGTTTAGTACATCAGCATCATCTTTTGGTTAAAGGGATTGTAAGTGGCACTTTTATATTATATTTAAATGACTAACCTTAATGAGAAGTGATACAATATATCCAGGTCAAAATCATACTGCAATGCTATTTGGTGGACTGCTGCAGTGCTTTTGTTCTGAGCAGCTGGTGAAGAAAAACACAGTGGAGACTAGAAATTGCGTTTCTGAATACAGAGATCTCAGCATGAGGGTAATCAGCGAGTCATTTGTGTGGAATATTAACCCATTTAACTCCCGCAGATCCATTCCTGTCATTTTGTGCTGTGAGCGCTATAATAATTGCACTTAATGAAACTTTAATTCTGCCTTCAATCCAATTTTATCTTAGCATGCTGCATATTCCTTTTGATTTACACATTCGCCTGAGAAAAAGAAACTGCTTCTGCAGCCAGTACAGTCTATAAATAGCAGACATGATGCTGCATTAGGACACAGTGCATTTCACCTTTCCCCAGGTTCAGGTCTGAGTCAGTACTCATAACACACCTCTGCTGTGATCTCCTTAGGTGAGGTCAGACTCCCAGAGGGAAGGACAAAGATGGACAATGGCCTGGCAGAGAGCTTGCTCTCAAGCTCTGGGGGATTATAATAAGCTGGGGCTCCACATACCATCAGGCTGTAACTCACACTGACTGCTTGTACTACACCGATCTGTGCTGTTCACTAAAAGAAGTTAGCATTTACTGCTGGGTAGGACACACGGAGGTTGCACAAAGAGTCAGTGCTTTCATAAAATTGGTAGAGAGGCTGTTTCTAACTTTCCTAGCTACAGGGAGTATCCGGCTTTGTGAGGGAATCACAGCAAAGATGTGAAAAAACATTGCAAGAGTTTGGTAGCTGCATGTTAACTATGAATTTTGAGAAATATGCTCTAAGTAAAATATTAAAACTGGCCCAAACAGTTACATAATAAATCTGCATGAGAACATAAATGTTCTATAGAGTTTTTATCACCTCGCCCCCTAAAACATAGCACACAGAGATGGCAATAACATTAACATAACCACAATGTTTCTCCACTTGCTGCTACACACTTGATTTACGAGGTTAGGAGAGTAATATTGCACTTAGAGTCTCTGCTGGAGTGTCCTTAGGCAAGATACTAAAATCTCTGCTCAGAGTGTGCAGTTCTGTGGCTGACAATGCCTCGAGAGGGTTTGCTGATACCTGTTTTTTGTGCTTACCTTGTTTTTGCTTTATTACCTACAGTCATATGAGACAGCTCTATTGTTTATCAAGAACTTGCTTCAAGTCCTTGTATATTTAATGCATGACTTAACTGCCTTACCTGTAGGCATTTTTGGATGCAGGCCGGGGGTCAAACTTGAAGAAAATTATACACATGGATGTGCTGGGGATTGATGGCAGGGCTTTCACTTGGTTCACATCTGCCTCTAAATCTCAGCCATACCTGACAAAGAAAAGAATATAGGAGTTATTCTGAATACCCTTTAAAGAAAACAAACAATCTAATTCCCACACCTTGCGATATCACAGCAAAAACAAAAACGACTAATGAAAAAAAAAACTCCTTGTGTACTTTAACTCCTATTTCTCTTGATTTCCCTTGAAGTGTTTCAAAATCTTGACTGATAAATTGTGGTAAATTTAATTAACCAGACTAGATTTGGAAAGGCACCTGCCTATATAAAGTCTCATGCCTGATGATGCACGTCAAAGCAAAAACCAGGGTAAGTCAGAATTCCTGCAGTGATCAGAAACAGTGCAGCATTGCAAAGCATGCTAAGCATTTTGCTGCAGGGAAAATTCCAAAGAACAGAATGGCCTTTATATTTCTTAAATGAAAGCAGTTTGGAATAAACAGGACTCTTGAAACTTTTGAACTAGCAGGCCATCCAATCAACCAAAAGAGCAGGGACTTTACTAGAAGTGACCCAGTGGTCGTTCTTACTGAAATTCTGTGTGGAGATGAGAGAACCTTCAGAAGGACGCTCATCACTGCAGTACTCCAATGATATCGGGTTTATGGCCCAGATGGCAGGCAGAAGGAGGTTCCTCATATCAGACTATGAGGAAAAAAGATTTCTAACCTGAGCAAACCAAGTCCTCTCATCGCCTGAAAGCTACAAGAGTGAGTGACCAGAAAATAGACAATATAGACTACTGCAGTTGGCAAAGACGTTCAACCTGCCAAGGGGATCCCCACCCAGACTCATGATTTATTCCACCGACAGTTTGTAAATTAAATACAAACATCTATGTATAAGCCTGGAAATATATCCCAGGTGACACACCTCTAATAAAACAAGGTTAATGTGATATTCACGTTTTCTTAATTAACATATTTTCTACGTTTTTATTTCGTCATTTTGAGGCGAATAAAGTTCTGAAAACTTTCTGAATACATTGTTTCCAGACTTAGAACACAGCACCCAAAAGTTTTTTTTCTGTCTGCGTTCACTCAGCACCTAGTTTATATGTGGAAGAAAAACGGTTTCCCTTTATAGAACATGCTAATCACATTTTATTACAGTCTTTGCAGTATATTGTGTGGTCATGTCCTGCACCACATTCAGAAGGACTGGGATACAAGTCATTCAGCTACAGTATCCTAACTGTAATGAGTGCAAAGGTAGCAATTGAGTAGAGTCGTAAACTTAGCCATATGTCACAATGGCATTTAATGACTCGCTAGTCCGACCCCAATAATCAGCTGGTATTATGAAGCTAGAGGGTTGTGACAACTTGCCACAGTTGACATCAACTACACATTTTGAATGATACGAGGACACGAGCGACTAGCATTGTCGCAGGACATTAATATTTGATAGACAGCAGCGAACTAGCTCAGTAGCATATCCACAGACAAAATATTAGTCGAGTAATATGGTTAGTTGAACGATTAGTTCCAGGATAACTTCACCTACACATAACTAGCTAACGTTAGCTTAGTAATAGTTAACAGTATAACGAGGACACCGACCCAGCAAACTTTAGCTTCCTACCCAAACTTAGCTATGTGCGAAACAATATACTACAAATGATATCTGGCTTATCGGTTTTCTACACTGCTGTTGTGTCGCCTACTTGTACTCACCACCCCTCAACACTCGGTGTTGACAGCTAAAAGGAAGTACTCACAAAGAGTGACCTCGATTTGAGTCTTCAGTCGTTTCATAAGGCTAAAAATCCGACGTGACCGGTTATTATCTGTGACGTGACCTTAACCCCGCCCGCCTCTGCATTTTACATACCTAAAACAAGCGCATATGCTCAGTATTCCAGTATGATTGGTCATTTTACAAAACACGAACAGCCAAGCTCGCAGTAAACGGAAGCAATGAGGTTTCCGGTTTAGTTAACGCTATTTTCAAAATAAAAGCATTAGTGTCAGAACTGTGTTTTTATGTTACAATTCTTTAAGGAAAAAACGGCTTGGCTAACAGGGTTTATTTTATTAACATGATTATGCCTCACAATACAATATAACTGAAAACTGTATTGTCATTTGTTTTAACACATAGACTGTAGTACAGGGTAGCATTTTTCCAAATAAGGAACACTTTTAATTTGAAAAATATTCTGTAGACGTCTTTTTTGTATTCCCGCGGGCTTCACGATGTAGTATTGACATCAATCATGTCATATCAATAGATAGGAGAAGCCTACAGAGAAATGCAAGATGAAACTGATAAAATAAAATAAAATAAAATTAAATTAAATTAAAAATTGATATAGAGTTTTATGAATTTTAATGGAAGGTTTAACAAAATTGTATTTTTTTTAAAATTCACTGACAGAAAAACTTAAACGTAATAACAGGAATAAATTCACTGAAAGTAACAAGTCTTTTTATGAATAATCGAATTAGGTTAATTTTCCTCCAATAGTAGTTTGAATGGGGCGGAGACACTCGCTGTGACCGACAGCATCCAGCACTGTTGTGGATGAGCGGGATAAAGGCTGCTCTGCCTTTCGTACACTAGAATACAACTTCGCTGTCTCTAATTAACGTATTTATTAGCCGCTTCGAGTGCATCCAATAACTTCAAAGCCCATTAGGTTAGGTTTACTGTTTGTTATTATTTTTTATTTTTTCCCCGCTGCATGTGGAGCGACTAAAGGGACTCGCCGACAGCAACCTGCCAACTCCAGTTTGAGAGATTTGGCAGGTTGTGAGAGTAGTAGGCTCTCCCTGCAGCAGCTAGGCTAACTTGCAGGCAAAAATAACGGCGTTCGCGGTGAGGCTCGGAGTACTGCTCATCACAACGGGGAGTCACTTCGCCTGCGGGAGCAACGATGACCGGGAGAAACTGAGGTAACCAGAAAACAGCTCTGTTATTATCTCATAAGTTTTATCCTGTTCTCTCAGCAGGAGGCGGGTGTGACAAAAATGTCAATTAACATCAGGAAAGCTCACAATAACCCGCGGGCTGTGTTTCCTGACATAAGCAGGTGCTCGTCTGAAGTGTAATGAACTGGACTCGGTGTTATTTGGTTAAAGCTTTAGCTAATTTATTGTTTAAATATACGTTTTTAGTGTGGCGCGGTGGGAAGAGATATATTTAATGCTCCTTAAAAAAATCTGTAACAACGAGGGCTCGGATGAAATTGAATATATCTGCGCGTGCTCCCCTGTTGTAAACATTCATGGATGCAGTCGAAGGACGCGAGAGCCGCCACGAGCTGTCAATCATCTCATCCTCACTGCTCTATTGTTTTTCGCTCGTGCTGTTTGTGAGTGAGTTTCCATGGAGAGTCTTCCGGTTTCTCTACTCTAATTACCTTATTTGGAGAAGGGGCGGCTGACTGATGGAGTGCTGCTGTTGTTGGGTTAATAGTGATGTATACACACAAGCGCCCGAGTGAAGTGGATGTTTTGAAAGAGTTATTCTCAATAGACGCTGATGTATCCTGATCAGGCTTTTCACACTCGATAGCCTTCCGATGGCCTCGAGGTGCGCTGTTAAAGCAATTAACTGTGCAATTAATTTATATCTCAGCCTCGTGGCAAATCGAAATTTATAAACTGTCACCCAATCTTTTTTTTTTTGTGACACTCAACATTCAGAACGAAAGCACGTTAAATTGGTATTTTGCAACCCCGCCCCACTGACCATTAACAGATCATCTACAAACCCACTATACAGCCTTATAATTTTCTTTCCAGATAAACATGAGGGTACTTTTTAAAACTTAAAAACTGTGATCAGTAGGCTTTGTCAGTGAACCATCATGCAAACAGTCTAGGTCTGAGTTTACACTTGTTTTTTAAAAAGTGTCTTTGGAAATTGGATGGCAAGTGAGCAGCTCAGACAAATCAGTGTTTACATCTGACTCTGATTTCCTTACTGTCTAAGTCACTTCCAGTAGAAGGTCAAAGGAACAGTAATGTAATTAAAGGAGGCCTAGCAAGCAAAATGACATGTTACAAGGACTAAGACAGTACATTCTGTTGCAGCTGTCCTAAACCAAATAGGACACCAAAGTATCCTACTAATATATCATTGCTTCATAGCCACATAGAACTCAAAAATATGGAAAATTTGTGCCCATTTAACAACATAAGACTTTATATTTTGTGACTATTTCACAAACTGCCTGATGCTTGGGTTTTTTCATTACAATTTTATAATAATACTAGTTATTTCCATTGAAATGTTGTGATAACCCTGACTGCAGGTTTATCTAAGTTCTAAGTGAAAGCAACTTGGCTTCCTTGAGTTTTCTATATACATTTAAACTTTTATCCAACTGACTGGTGGAGTCAGTTGGATAGGAACACCTTGTGTTAATGTGTGAGTTATCACTTAGATATAACACGACCTGCATGCCGAGTCTTTCAAGTGGAACATGGATATACACAGATAAATTATTAAATGCTTTTAATTGGAAGCTTACACAGACACCCATTATGGTGGTTTATGTGCACTCTTTTGTGTAAGGAATATGTATGGAGTGACCAGCCAAACAGTGGTGACACTGTAGTGAGATCTGAGGCCAAAGGTCTGCACTATGCAGCAAGTGGTAACTTCAGGTTTAAACCTGGGTTTTCAGTGCAATAATTATGCTTGATTTTTACCGGGCACATTGCCATGGCAACTTATTCTTCAGATCTAACCTGTGCTGAAGAAGGTTATGTCGAAGATAAGAGATTAACAGATACAAACTCCCTGCCCACCGACAAGTCAATACTCAGGATTGCCAACATTCCTGGAAGATCCCTTATACCTTGGTGGATTTATAGTCTTCATCTTTCCCTGATGACTCTCACTAAGAAATATAGATCCTTAGAGGCAACTTTAATCCTTCATTTTTGTCCACTGCTGGTTGCATTTAGTTTAACAATATTTATTATTCTGTAGCCATTAATATATTATACAAATATAGTGAATCGGTTTGCATCTGTGGAGTTTATGTTAAATCTGCTGGTAGACTAAATCTGCATCTGAATTCTGTTTTTATTTTTATTTGTTACTTGCTTTCAGACCATTAGGTAGCACCTGGGCTGTAGCTGAAAAAACAAGGCTAAAATTGTCTTATGTAAATTTAAATATTAATTTAATAGAATATGCAAATATAATTTGGCATATGCTCCTGTCTTAATGGTAAAACTCATCTGGTAAATTTGCTACACAGTTGGTATTTTTGGTGGCTTTCCTTCATGGTTTTGAAAAAAAAAAAAGACTTTGTAAGTATCATAGTCTTTCAGCATTACTGACCAACGTGCTAAAAGTACACAGACATTCATACAGTGCTTTTAGTTGTATACTTTTATCCTCTCTCTCTCTCTGCGGACATCTCATTTGCAGAATGCTTAACCCTAACAATAACCATCAAAAATGGATGCCTAATCCTAAACCTAAGCCTAAACCTAGCCAGAACCTAATAGTGACCCTGACACTAAAACCACATTTTGAGCCTCAAAAATGCCTTCAAACTTGTGGGGACGGCATTTTGTCCCCATAAGTGACTACTGGTCCCCACAAGTATAGCAGCATGCCAATTTTCTGTCCTCACAAACATGCACTCAAACATGTACTCAAACAAACACACACACACAGATTTCTCTGTACTGTGTTGGAGATTGGTCAGATGCTGCTAACACCGCTCCTTTCAAGTAAATGTGTTTGTAGCGAGAAAGTTAAACCCTGGGTTGAATGACAACCAATCACGTTGGAATGACTCCTGCACTTGAGTCCAGATGTTAAAGTAAATGAAGCCAGACAGAATAAAACCGAATAGAATAGAATAACTTTAATGTCCACATCGGTGGAACACTGTCTTTGTTCAACAAAGATAGGGATGTCCTGTGTATGTTGCAATTGCTTTGTAGTACAAACCCGAGGCACTGCTGACTTTGTCAACCAGCTCACATAGTGGATGTGTATAGATAACAGCCCTCATGCACTATGTAAAACAGTAATTTATAGTATGAAGAGAAAGAAAAGAAATAAACATCTGATGTCTTTCTCTCTTAAGGCTTTTGACATTTCTGCAGAAGTTTTGCACTGACTCAGAATTTAGCTCATTTATGCATTTCAGACTGTGTTACAGAGAATGCTGCTGCATTCAGAAACATCCCAAAAGATTGCTTGATGTGTATCACTATATAGAAGGTGTATGCTACACTTTACAGCACAGTTAGTACAAACAAAATGCTCCTTTACACAGACTGTTATGTGTGTAGGACCTTAGCCTCTTAATTGTTTGCTATGGTTGACTTAGGTCATGACAATCATATTTTTAAAAGTTCCTCAGATGCTTCTTTTGTCAGAATACATTTTAGACTGATTGGTAATAAGGTAGGAGCTCATTTTGAAAATATTTGCAGCTCACACACAGTGAGCAGTCTCTGGACAGAATGAGAATCTCTGCGCCACCTATGAGTGTGCTGAAAAGCGAAAAATATTCAATAACTGGGGGTAAACAAGAAGACTTCCAATGAATGCTAATGTTTAAAAAATCTTTGTTTTTCCCTTTGCTACGTAAGTTATCACACACTTCCCTGTGTGCCAACTGTCTTGTATTTATGTATTCTGTCTTTCTTGAGGGGAATAATGTTCAAATATTTGGACATGATCATCTTAAAAAACAATTATAGGGGTTACTGCATGTTGTGCCAAACGCAGAAAGATGTTTTAGAATGGTTGCAATAGGAAAATGTTTTATCCTATCGATGGAGACCAAACCAAACTTTTTAATTTTTCATGAATTTTTTATAATCACCACTTAAATATCAGAAGGTTAAAATGGCATTTTTCTAATGAGCCTGACACGACCTGAGGTCATTTTAATCTTAAGAACAGTTTATGCAGTAAGGCACTAACTTATTAGGACGTCCGCTGCTTCAAAACTTAGTATTCTTAACTGTTAGCCCCGTGGCATATTTGTAATTTGAATGTAACTGTGTGAGCTGGTCAGATGACGTCTTTGTTTCAGTTTAGTGGCACTGTCTGAATTTGAATCCGTGTTTTGAATGTTATACTTTCCATCTATCCATCACTCCTTCCCTCCCTGACTGTGTCACAGGGGCAGACATAACAGAGCAGGTTGGTTTATGTGATACACGATTAGTCACAGTCTGATATTTCTGACGGATGATACTAACATTTCCATGCCAATATTTTGTACCATTGCAAGACATCTTAACACTTGCAAAAGAAGCGTTGTAAACAACAGAAAAGATGTCTCCATGCATTCATTTCTTTTGCAATACACTGAAATAGCAGTTGCAGTGTATTGCAACAGACCATGGGCATTTTATAGTACCTGCATTTTGTGTATCTAGGACAACCAATACTACTAGCAGAGATGTAGTCTCTTAAGGGGGAATCATATTATGAAGTCAAATCAGGGAATTATCGTAGCCTCTAAAGAAAGGATTCAGCCACTATGACATTTAATCAAGCTAGTGTTTTTATCAACGTGCCACCTTATTGTCTTTTTCTGTGCTGTCAGAGATAGCAAACACTAACCTAACAGTTTTTAGTAATATAAATGCACCCATGAAATATCCACCCATCTATTTTGGTTGCATTATAATGTTGCTTCATCCAGCCAGCCATTATAATCACACCAGCAGTAGCTGGGACACATTGTCTCATTGGAACAGGGATTAAGGGGCATCAACAGCAAAAACAATTGGAGATTCAGATGAACATGTATGCAGTTACAGAGTGTCATACTTCATCATTCTGTCTGATTAAAGGTAATCTTAACATTTTTATGAAAGCCTTTTAATAAATTGGTTACTCTGTTAAAACCCTAGATGTCTTTTCACAGCTTGCATTGACTCAGCAGCAAAGCACAAGTGTA